TCCCAGCAATAGAGGCATAATATGGTTCTACCAGTTCTCAGCTGTCCATATGTGGGATTCTACATATTCTATCAACTACAATTTCTAAATAGCCTTCAAAGGCAATCTCATGTAAATTACAAACAGGTTTCTGTCCAGCAGGCTAGACTGCAACCAGTTTAAGAGGCATGCATTAACTCAAGAATTTCTGATGAATACAGTATATTGTAAATATAAAAAAAGAAGAAGAAGTCATTCTTAGACTTCTGATGCTTGTGATGTAACTATCTTTTGGCCAGGAGAAACTATTTCCATCTACTCCTTTTTCAATGGCTAAAATTTGTATCAAGCTGTTTACATCTGACAACATGAGATCTTATTTTCAAGTAGTAGACAATTAAGTACTTGTTCATACAGTTGGGTAGATACAATTAGAGCTTACTGTATATAAGTAGACACTTGGGTATGCTGTTTGTCTTTTAGGATGGTTTATTTGGGGGAAAACAACCTAAACTTGTGTATCTGCTTGTACTATTGTGCTTTGCAAACAAATATTGCTAATGTTACTAAGGTTGAGTAGATGCAAAAATGTTACTATAGATATTAACTTGTTGGTGGGTAGGTTGGGCTTTAGTGCATGCATGTACTTTGGGCACGTCTTCTTTTTATCTTGTTACCCTTATAATTATGTTATAGCAATAGCTATCATCTTTTTTCTTATTCTTTTTGCAGCTAGGCATGAAACATTAGCAAGGAATAACCCAGTTGCCTCTTGCCTTGTAGGCAGGCTAAACAATATGACCATCTGTTTTGTTTTTCAGAGACTGTGTCCATGTGGAGAATAACAAAATGGCTTTGAGATGGAGATAGGCAAATAGTTTAGCCAGGTAAAATGAGCTAAAGCACTTTTTAAATTCAGAATGTCCAGAAAACATTCTGAAACAGCTCAGAGTGACTTCCCTAGTTCACTGAATCTGTAACTATAGATACAGCACGATCAGATTTGCAAAATTGTTATTGTAGCCAATCTTAATAAAAGTACTCTTAATCTTTAAAATAACAGCTTAATTGATACAATCAGCAAATTCTACACAAGGCACCTACAGTGGAAATATCAGGATTGTCTGGAAAAACAAAACATATTTGCAGAGGAGCAAGTTGGTTTTAGAAAAGGCTGATTCACCTAGTTTTCCATCATGTCGTTGAAAAATACTCCCCCTGCAACATAGCCTTCCTTTAGACCATTGTCATAAACTTCAAAGTAACATTTGATTCAGGGGTGGGTTCTACTTACCTTTACTACTGGTTTGCAATGGGGCCGCGTGCGCGCGCTCGCTTCATACACAGAAGCTTCCTAATGACGTTGGGGTAGGTGGGCAGAGCCTCCAGCCAGTTTTACTACCGGTTCTTGCGAATCGGTCCAAACCAGGGGCAACCCACCACTGACTTGATTCCATATCCTGAACTAAATTTTATAAAATTTAGTTTTATGAAACTAAAAAACTAAATTTTAATTTTTACAAAAAACTGGAGGCCTCCTCAATTGACCAATGTCTACTTCATTTAATACTCTGCTACTTGAAGGAACTTCACTCAAAGTAAGATGGCCCTCTCAGGACCTCTCACCTGTACCACTATAACTGAGAAAGGCATCAAGCAGGGCATCAACCCATCTAATGCTCATACCCCTCTTTTTAAATTCTTTTACACTTGCTTTTTATATGTACTTTCTATTTTAATACATTTATACAACTTTTTCCAATTTTGTTTGGTGCATCTTTTATGCTTTTTAATTGACCATATCCCACACTCATTATGCTGATCTATGACTATAATAAAGATATGATGATAGTAGCCTATCATAGGCTATCATAGTAGTTGCATGAACAAAAATCTTATTTTTGCAGCTTCTTGTGCTGTTTCTCTTACTGAAATGTAGAAATATCTTCTTGCTATTGAAGCTGCCGATTACTCACCAATACCTGGTGCAGGGTGCAGGGTGACTTTATTGTGTGATATTAGAAATAATGCTATTATTAGAAATAATATGTTGTTAGATATCTTAACATCTCAAATTTAAATATATATGTTAGAAAATGTTAGATTATAGATGTTAGAAATAATATTATAAATAAACAATTGGGATATTTGTCCCATCCCTGTGTTTATTTATGTCTGAATAAGCCTATAATTGTCCTACAAAATGCTATTAACATACCCCAAACTGAGATGTGGGAAATGAAAGCCAAGCATGGCATGGTGCCTCAGCACTCAAGCTTGTGCATTTCCCCACCAACTTTTAATAGAGGTTGAAACATGGAACAGTTCTCTAAGGAACAACAATTCTAGCTACTCATACTTAAAATAATTTTAATAAGACATTTCCAACAGGTTAAATTAGGAACAGTTATTTATAAAGGATGAGAACTACAATAAAATCCTCATGTTCCAACCTACATAAACCGGGACCTTCAGTGTTAAAGGGACATATTAATAGAAGATTTCAATGTGACACACCAAACATTTCTAAACAGAAGAAATGCATCTTCGACAAACATTCTAATATATGTACAAAGAGCAGAGATCAAAAAAGGAAACTGCCAGAGTTTGGCCTTAGCTTGTTTAAAAGAACTGTAGATATGATTTCCTGAAATCATATTTAAGATACCTGAAACAATCAATGATATAACCTTTGCCTTGTTTTCTGATATTAGAGAATATTTTTGAAGTGTGTACACAGGACAAAATTTGCATTATTCTGAGACAGTCAGTAAATGTCTTTCTGATGGCTACAATTCATGCTAGATGACAATTACAAGCTATATTACAAGCTTATGAAAACACTTCCTTTGTTAGTGTAGAGAGTAGCATTTATTCAAAACGCCATGCTACAATTGCTTATATAAGGAAACTACATATTGCCTTACCAAATTAAATGCAAAAAAGGTGAACTACTTGCTTTCCTGCTGGTGATGGCCTTGTCCTTTCCGAAAGCAGATAGTGGCATATTTCCAGTAGCAGTAGTAATATGTGAGATAATAAACATTTCTGATTTCTAATTATTTAAAATATATAACCTTGCAAATACTAGATAAAATACAGCTTGGATTAGAATTTGCAGTCTTCATGAATATAATACAGAGAAGTTTGACAAGATGGAGACTTTCTCATGGGAGCCAGAAGCTCATTTTATTGTTTCAGGCAACTTTTTAAAAAAAATTATGTATCAAAAGTTGCTTTTAGACACCTAAAAAATAAATCCTTAGTTCTGAGCATGGTGCAGCATCAAATATGTGGATGAACCATACCAAAAGATTCACATGTTGAAAAGGTGCATGTATGAAGGTTTGGCCACTAAAGCACATCCAAACATTCTAGAAAAGTAAAGTATAAAAAACAACAACCTACTAACAACACAGCTGTAGGGCTGTGAAATATTTCAATTTTTTTTGAAGAAAATGCAGTTAAATTGATAAATATATTTTGTAAGCAAACATGGAAACACACTGTATTGGCCAAAAGAAAAAGATTAATTTATATTCTTATATATATATATAAAGAGTAGCACTAAAGAATACTCAAACTGTTTAAGAATTGCACTTTTCCCATATGCTAGTAAAATAATGCACACAATTTTGCAGTAGGTGGAACAAAGATCCAGGTCATGACTTGAGCTTTCTCACAGAATCGTGGCTACTGTTGGAGCAATAGTGGAAGAAGGACTCTTTACTTGGCTTAGGCTGGTAGGCCACTTGTAAGCTTTGGAGATGAGAACCTATGCTGTTATCACCGTATGGCATAACTACTGCATCATGCTCCATGTGGACTGCGTTGAAAGACACCTCAAGCTATTAATTGGTATAGGATGCAGAGTCCAGTATCCTACCAAGGTAACACCTATTACAGGGGTGGGCAAATATGGCCCCTTTATGACCTGTGGACTTCAACTCCCTGAATTCCTGAGCCAGCTTGGCTGTCTCAGAAATTCTGGGAGTTGAAGTCCACAGGTTGTAAAAGGGCCACAGTTGCCCACCCCTGACCTATTATATAATCATTCTACTGATGCCAGTAGACCTCAGGATCCAATTCAAAGTATTGGCTACCATTACTATATTATAGTAGAGCACCAGATAAGCATCAGGAACCACCTAATCCAAATAGAATATAGAATAAGAAGATTGAAGGTCTAGTCCAACCTCTTGTTCAAGCATGAGAACTTAAACCATTCCGGCCAAATGGCTGTTTTCTTGAAAACCTCCAGTGATGGAGCAGCCATAACTTCTGTAGTTAAACTTGATTCTTCCTGCTTTGTAAGAGCATCAAGCAGGGGTGAAATGCTCCCGGTTCGGACTGGATCACCCGATCCGGTAGCAATGGGAGGCAGGTGGTTCGGAGAACCGGTAGCAAAAATCCCCACCCCCCCCATGCCCAGCTGAGCCGCGTAATCATCAGAGGCTTTTTTTTTTACTTTTAAAAGCATTTTTTCTACAACTATGGCCGAAAAAATGCTTTTAAAAGAAAAAGAAAAAAGCCTCTGATGATCGTGCGGCTCGTCAAAGGCATTTAAAAGAAAAAAGCCCTTTTTTTCTTTTAAATGCTCTGACAATCCAAGCTGAGTTCCCTGATTGGCAGCCCCTGCTAAATCAGGGAACTCAGCTTGGATCGTCAGAGCATTTAAAAGAAAACAAGGGTTTTTTCTTTTAAATGCTATGACAATCCCAGCTGAGTTTTTAAAAAGCCTCTGACGATCAGGGAACTCAGCTGGGATCGTCAGAGCCTTTTGAAAACATTTTTTTACAACCTCTTAGCCGAAGAGGTTGTAGAAAAAATGGTTTTAAAAGGAAAAAAAATGGCCACGGCCACCCAGTCACATTACCCCCCTCACCAAGCCACGCCCACAGAACCGGTGGTAAGAAATTTTAGATTTCACCCCTGGCATCAAGGAAAAGTTTGCTCAAAGTCCAGTCCTTACTTGAGATAAAATGGGCATTTGCAGATCACAGAAAAGGACGTTGACTTACCTGAACGTCCGTTCTGAGAGTGGAGAGGCCAGTGGTCACACGTGGGTTGATGACGCGATTCAGCCCAGATCGAGTCTGATAGTTGAAAGACTCCTCCTCTTGTTGCTGTCTCCCAGCTTTTGGACGAGAGATGATCAGACTGACGACGCTCCAGCTGAACTGAAAGAAAGAGAGAAAAGTACACCGGCGAAACGGACCGGCGGAAAGGGTGGGGGTGACCACTGGCCTCTCCACTCTCAGAACGGACATTCAGGTAAGTCAACGTCCTTTCTAAGAGAGGGAGAGGCCAGTGGTCACACGTGGGACATGCCAAAGCCCACAACTTAATGGGAGGGACCCGCCCGGGACGTGGAGACCCCTCCCGCGCATATTTGCTGGAGAACCCGGCGACCGAACGCCGCCTCCGCCGAAGCAAAGCTATCGATTTTATAATGGCGGATGAAGGGGGTCGGCGACGTCCAGGTGGCGGCCCGACATACCTCCAGAAGAGGGGCCTGGGTGGCCTAGGCCGCCGTGGTGGCTGCACTCCTGGTAGAGTGGGCAGTCAAGCGGCGAGGTACCTGTAAGGATTGGGCCCCATAGGCAGTAGTAATCGTGGCCCTAATCCAGCGGCCTACCGTCTGAGGCGAGACTTTAAGTCCCAGAGTAGCCGGCTGGAACGATACCAAGAGGCTCTCCGAGCGACGGAATGAGGAAGTCCGCCGGAGGTAGATTCGCAGAGCCCTGCGGACATCTAGTAAATGCCAAGTACGTTCCTGGGGCCGGGAGGGATGAGGGCAAAAATCGGGCAGGATTAACTCCTGAGCCCGATGAAAGTGAGTGTTCACTTTAGGAAGGAAGGTGGGATCTAGACGGAGCACGACCCGGTCGGGGTGGAAGATGCAGAGGTCGGCCCGGGCCGAAAGGGCTGCCAGTTCGGATATTCGCCGAGCGGATGTAATGGCGACTAAAAATGATACTTTGTAGGAGAGGAAGCGTAATGGCACCGTCCTAAGGGGCTCGAATGGACCTTGAGTGAGTGCCGAGAGGACTTTGGGCAGATCCCAGGAAGGGTAACGGTGAATGGGAGGCGGGCGGAGGTTTGAGGCACCCCGGAGAAAAAGGCGGATGAGGGGATGATCCGCTAGAGAATTCCGGGAACCAAAACACAGGATGGAAGACAGGGCGGCCACCTGCCTCCGTAAGGTGTTGGGGGCCAACCCCGCATCCAACCCTAGCTGGAGGAACATAAGTACCGTTTCGTCGACACCAAACCTGGGTCCTGCTTCCGCCTCGAACACCAGAGGGCAAAGGATCGCCATGTGGAGCCGTAGATCTGTCTCGTTGCGGGCCGCCGTGCCGCCAGAATGGTGTTGATGATATGGTTCGGTAAGTGGGATCCTCTCAGGAGGCGCCGCTCAACCTCCAGGTGGTTAGTTGAAGCCAGTGGACGTCCGGGTGTAGAATGAGACCCTGACGGAGGATGACCTTCGCTGGTGGAAGACGCCACGGAGGAAGAATCGACAGCAGCTGGAGGTCGGCGAACCACGGGCGGCGGGGCCAGTGGGGCGCGAGGAGGATCAGCTCCGCTCGTTCCGCTAAAAGTTTCCGGAGCACCTTGGGAAGAAGGGGGAGGTGGGAAAGGCATAGAGAAGGCCCGGGGGCCATCTGCTGTGGAGGGCGTCCACCGCCTCCGCTCTCAGATCCGGATATCTGGAAAAGAAGCGGGGTGTCTGCCGGTTGTCGTAATTCGCAAATAGGTCCACCGTCGGATTCCCGAAGCGGGCCGTTATTTGTAGGAATAGGGCAGGGTCGAGCTGCCACTCGCCCTGGTCGACGAAGGAGCGGCTGAGCCAATCGGCTTGTATGTTGGCTTGTCCTGATATGTGGGAGGCCCGGAGGGACCTCAGGTGTGTCTCCGCCCAGGCTCCCAGGCTCTTGGCTTCCTCCAAGAGGTCGTGAGAGCGGGTCCCCCCTAGGCGGTTTACATGGGCCTTGGCGGCCACATTGTCCATCCGGACAATGACATGACAATCCAGGATTTGTGTCTGAAAGATGCGGAGAGCCAGATGGATGGCTCGGAGCTCTAGCCAATTGATGTTGTGGCCCTGGTCCTCCTGGGACCAGCGGCCCTGGGCCATGGTGGATTGAAGGTGAGCTCCCCAGCCCTGAAGGCTGGCGTCTGTTGTTACGATGAGGGGATTGGTCTCCCGAAATTCCCTCCCCTTGAGAAGTGCTGGGGACAACCACCAGTGAAGAGAATTTCGAACGATGGGGGGAAGGGATACCATCCGGCTGGTGGCCGATAAGCGGCGCTTCTGATACGGGATAAGAAACCACTGCAGGTCCCTGCAGTGGAGATGGGCCCATGGAACGATTCCTATACATGAGACCATCTTTCCCAGCAGTTGGGAGAGGGTCGCCAGAGAGACGGGCCGTCTCCGGGCGACCGACCTGACCAGAGACCGCAAGCTGATCAGACGCTCCTGGGAAAGGTAGACCCTGCTCTCGACCGTATCGATGACAGCTCCCAGATGTTGAATACGGGTCGTGGGTACCAGATGGCTCTTGGCATAATTGATGGAGAAGCCGTGAGCCGACAGGACCTGGAGGGTGGAGTCCACGTCCTGTTGCGCCATTGCCTCCGAGCTTGACTGGATGAGGAGGTCGTCCAGGTAACATTGGATCCTGACCGGCCGAGCTCGGAGGTGGGCTGCAAGGGCGGCCATCAATTTCGTGAACACTCGGGGAGCCGAGGAAAGGCCGAAAGGAAGTGCGCGATACTGGTAATGCCGGCCCGCATGACAAAACCTCAGGAACTTGGAATATGCCGGATGGATGGAAACATGTAAGTACGCCTCTGTCAGATCTATAGACGAGAGGAGGTCCCCAACCCGAATGCCATCCAGAATGGATTGCAATGACTGCATTTTGAATCGTCGGTAGAGGACCCAACAATTCAAAATCTTGAGGTCTAGGATTGCTCTCCATCCCCCGGAAGACTTCTGCACGATGAACAGGCGAGAATAGAAGCCGTGTCCGCGCTACTCCTGAGGTACCGGTTCGATGGCCCGAATTTCTAATAAATGCTGAATGGCCGATACCACCAGAAGTTGATGCGCCCGGTCCCGGGAGGGAGGGCATCGGAGAAATCTGTCCGGAGGGGTGGAGAGGAATTCCAGGGAGAGGCCCCACCTGACCGTCTCCCTGACCCAAGAGTCCGATGTTGTAGACTCCCATTGGCTGGCAAAGAGAGCCAGGCGGCCCCCAATGGGAGAGGAGGACCTGCAGTCAGCGGGACCTGCGGAAGGGACGCCCCCGGCTCCCTCTGAAGGAGCGTCTAAACTGGCCCCTCTGGGCCTGGGGACCCTGGCGTTCTGGAGGACGGGAACGGGGGGGAAAGAATCTCTGGTTTCTCGGGCCCGAGAAACCAGGTTCGGGGCCGCGAAAGGAACGAAAAGGAGCAGCCAGGCGGTGCTCCGAGCGCCGGGAAATGTTAGGTAAGATCCGCCTTTTGTCCCTGGTTTCAATCAAGAGGGGCTCGAGGGGAGCCCCGAAAAGGGAAGGTCCTGCAAAGGGGGATGATGCCAGGCGCCATTTAGTCTTGGCGTCCGCCTGCCATTGGCGCAGCCAAAGCAGGCGACGGGAGGTAACAGAAGCTCCAATTGATTTAGCGGCAAACCGCGACGTATTTAATGTCACATCTGCGGAATATTCCAGGGCGGCCAGGATTTTGTTAATGTCCTGCTGGGACCTGGAATCTGTTAGAGGGAGGCGTTCCTTTAGTTGGCGGAGCCACAGGATTGAGGCCCTATTGAAGAAAGAGGAGGCCATGGCGGATCTAACCGCCCAGGTGGAGGCCATGTGTGCCTTGACCAGAGAATGGTCAAGACGCTTGTCCTCGGGGCGGAGGCTCTCCTCCGGTGGGGCTGCCACATTGGAGGGGCTCGAAAGAGCCACCACAGGCGGGTCTACCGTTGGAACCTGTAAGAGGGACGTTAGGTCAGGGACTAGGTTATACAGACATCTGTCAAGTGAATTCGGGTTGGGGCCCGAAGCGGGATTGGACCATTGGCGTTGGATTACGTCCTTGAAGAGCTTAGGACCTGGTATCTCCTCTATTTCAGAGATAGGCTCTTCAAATAGAGGAATCGAGGCCTCCGAGGATTGCCCCGGAGGCACAGGGTTACTAGGGAGACCCAAGCCAGTTGTGACCTTAGCCTTATGGAGAAGCAACCTAAACAGTTGCGGCTTAAATAAGCCCACAAATGAAGGCTGGTCTGGGGCTAGGTCTTCATCTTCAGATAGTTCCTGTTCCCTAATGTCCTGATCTAAGAGGGAGGGATGTTCCGAGGGAACGGAAGGAGCTACCCCCCCTGTCGGATTAGCGGACCCCGCATACTGGCATCCAACGTCCACTTGAGAGGAATCAGATTCAGCCACCCAGGAAGCGGTACGCTTCTGTAGCTCCAGTTGGACCCCTTTTTGAATGGCCTGGTGCAGAAAAGCCGCTAACTCCGGTGTTAGGACGGAAGCGGAGGGGGAATCCTTGACAGCATCTGAAGGATGGGAAGATGCTTCAGGGGGGTCCAGTTGACCCGCCCCTGGTGGAGAAGAGACAGATGGAGCACCAAAAAGGGCCTCCTGAACCTCGGCCTGTAAGGCCGGTACAGCAATGTTAGCATCAGGGGACAATTGGGGAATGGGGGTTCCAGGAGGGACCCTGTCCCCAGATGGGGTGGATGTTGTGGGTAGGGGGTCTGGGATTGGTGCTGGAGAGGTCCCTGATTGAGGAGGGGCCTCCCTGAGAGACGTTTCCCTGAGGGCCTTTTGTATCGAGCGCTCAATCGCCTCATGAAGGCGCTTTTCTTCCTTGGCTTTTGCTGCCTGGGCTTTAGCCTCCTTAGAGGCTTGGGTTCCTTTGGGCTTCTTTGGAGGAACCGCTGAAGAAGGCCCTGGTAAGGGCTCCTCATGGGATGCCCTCTTCGTGGCCTTGGTAGAGCGGGAAGCCAGTAAACCTGTTTAAAAATGCAGCAGAATACGATTAGAAATTTAAGGCCCAAGGGTGCTAAGCAAAATGGATGCCGTTTGCCTCGTGGAGCAGAGAGGTGATACAAAATGGCGGCCGCCTGCCTCGTGGAACAGTGAGGCCGTTACAATGGCGGCCGCCTGCCTCTGTA